CATTTTATTTCTTAGGCTATGTGATGTTCTAATTTGTTTTTAACATAAAAAGGATACCTTTCAACTGTGGTCATCAGTTTTAGGCACAGACCAGTGTTTGACTTAGTTGTGTCTGATGTCTTTGTACAGAGGCAGTGTAATAGTGCAGGGAAAAGTGTGGACTGTGGGGTCAGAATGCCTGGGTTTGAATAAAGACTCTGTTACATATGTTGGGCAAACTACTTAACTTCTGTGTGTGTCAGCTTCATCAGTACAGTATATATTATAAAAAATATTACAGAGTTGTAATAAAGATTAAATACGCTAATGATGAAAGAGTATCCATAGCAGTGTTTTTTTAAAAATTATTATTTAATTTTATTTATTCATTTATTTTAATTTGACCAGAGAGAGACGCAGAGAAAGAGAGAGAAAGGGGGAAAGGAAGCTGCCAGGTCCGGGACTCAAACTGTGGTCGTCCATGTGGGAGTGTCCAGCATACCTGCTGGTCCCCCCCATAGCAGTGTTTAATAGAAGTAGTACTGTAAGATCACTGAGGCAGGAGTAACTAGCCGTGTTTAGGGCAGTCAGAAAAATAATTCATATATTCATTAGGTACATGGAGATTTATCCTACCTAGTCAGTGCGTATGTGTGTGTGTGTCCTTATTTATTTGGAGACATCATGAAAGATGAATACTGAAGAACTGTACAGACTGATCGACAACAGAGACATGACAACTTACGCAACACTAACTGGATCATATTTTGGGGGCAAATTAAAGGTATTGAGACAACTGACAAAATTGGAATATATTCTGTAGATTTTCCAAAGTTATCACTCTATCCTGATTCTGTAAAAACAAACAAACAAACATAAAATCCACTCTACTCTTGTTCTAAGATGTATCACTGAAATATTAAATGAGTAAGGAAGAATGATGCTATTTGAGAGTAATTTGTGATATACTTGACTTCCTTATATTCTAGAAACAATCTTGTAACCATTTAGAAACGGTTTTCCTTCTCCTTATACTCCAAAACAATCGCAAAATTGTTTAACAATGGTTTTCTTTTTTCTGCAAGGAACTGAGTGAGTAGTATTGCAGACTATTCTTAAATAGTTCAGAGAGGGGCCAGCTCATGATGTGGCAGTTAAGGTGTTGAATCCCACATGGTCAACTGCATAGTTTGAATCCTGGACCTGGTGGCTTATAAAAAAAACTCTAGGCAGGGGCCAGCAGGTGCATGGTGAAGACACTGGACTCCCACATGGCTGACTGTGGTTTAAGTCCCAAACTTGGAGTTTTGAAGAATCACATGGTGTGTGTGCATGCCCAAAATCCCAGGAAGAGAATGGAGGAGAAGGGATAGTCATAGAAATCACCCAGGGGGCGATTTTCTCTTACTTTCCTTCCCACTGTCTGTTTTTCTGGTGATCTCAAACTCCCTATGGCAAAAACCTTAAAACAAAATTCTAGGCATGCACATCCATGCTTAAAATCCCAAGAGGGGAATGGAGGAGAAGGGATTGCATTGTGGCCATTCCCCCTGAAGGGTGCTTTCTCACTCTCCCTCTTTTTCTCCATGTCTGTGTTTCTGGCATGTACAGATGCTCTATAGCAACATTTTTTTTTTAAAGAAAAAGGAAAAGATTATAAAATAGATTTAGTTTCTTTAAAAATATCTGAAAGTTGGGACCAGCAGGTGGTGTGGTGGTTCAGGGGCTGGACACTCCCACATGGCTGACCATGGTTCTAGTTTTGGACCTGGTGACTTGTTCTCTCTCTCTCTGTCTCTCTGGTCAAATTAAAAATGAATAAATGAATAAATAAAGTTAAATAATTCTAAAAAGTCTGGAAGAAGTTATCATAATTTCTCCATATTATTACATAAGTATATATTTAACTGTATATCATCTCTACATAGTATCTATAAAATGCTCTGCTTTGAACTCTTTCCTCAAAAAAATTGAGACATTGGATCATAATCTAATCTGAATTACTTATAATAAGGAAAATTGTCTTCCTTACTCTTTTTTAAAATTTACAAAAGGGTACACAGAAGAAGCGAGGGGAGGGGTGATAAACCCGCTCATGAGGAATGGTTATGCAGCAATCAATTTTATGGTACCAGTTCTTTTCATATAGCTTTTCTAATCCTCTCTGCCAGGCAGAACAGTTTATGGTGCCAGGCCATCTTTCCAAGAGCTTCTGTTGCCTTACTTGAGATCTACCTTAATTCCATAGTTTTCTGGTTTGATCTTCAGATATGACATTCCAGTCAAAACCCTGTCCAATAACAAGTATTTCCAATTTCTGATTTAAAGCAATAGCTATTACTGAATTTATGCAAATAATTATTCTGCCACAAAATAAGAATACTCCCAAATATTTGCCAATTCCAGAGTGGTCAGGAAGGTAGAAAAGTTTATGTTTCCATTTAAAGAAACAAAGAAGAAGAAAAAACATTTTAACAAATTGCTGAACCTATCAACAGCTCAAAAGAAAGCAAAATCCTTAAATTGGGAAAACAAAACATAGTAAAGAAAAAGACAGTAATGTTTTACTCAAAAGTCATAAAATTCTATTTCACTTGTTCAGTCATATGTAATTAATCTTCTGTTGAATTTGCAGCATTACTATGGTCTGATCTTTCTGTTTAAATCCTAGAAGTTACTATTCAACTTTATTATTGATATTTCTTGTCCCTAGCATTAACTTGGTCATTTTCTTTTTTTTTCCTTTTTTTGGAGAAGTTTTTGCTATAGGGCGCATGCACTTGCTGGAAAGACAGAGACAGACAGAAAGTGAGAAATAACCCCCCAGGGGAATGACCATGCCTCAGTCCCTTCTCTTCCATTCTCTCGGGATCTTGGGCACACACACACATACACACACACACACACACACACACACACGTGCCTGGCATGAGTTTAAACCACCTGGGCTGGGCCTCGAATCCCGGTCGACCACATGGGAGTTCCGCGACATAGCTATTATGCTAACTGCTGGTCCCATAGCTTGGTCATTTTCGAGGATGCTTTTTGTTCTCTTTTTTTCTGTATGTGTGTCTTTAGTTTTTCTGGTAAAGCACTACTTGTAGAACTTCTTGAAGAGTTGATCTGGTGTTGGTAAATTCTTTCAGGTTTTGTTTATCTGAGAATGATTTTTGTCTTTTCTTCCCATATGAAGGATAATCTTACCAGGTTTAGTATTCTTGTTTGAAACTGCTTTTCACCTCACACTTTGAATATATTTTCTCTTGCTCGTATTGTGTCTGATGAGAGATCCTATGTTAGCCTGTTGAGATAACCTTTAAAAGTAACCTGATGATTCTCTTTTGCCAATTTTAGTATTTTGTCTTTGTGGATTTTGCTAGTCTGGTTATGATGTGTCTTGGAGAAGATTTTCTTGGGTTGATTCTAGTAAGGGTCCTTTGTATTTCTTGGGTCTGGATATTTAAATGCTTCTCTAGATTTGGAAAGTTTTCTTCTAGGATTTCTTGGAATAGATTATTAATGCCCTTATTAGTTTCTTTACCTTCTGGGATACCAATTGTCCAGATATTTGGGTGCTTAATAGTATCTAATATTTCTCTCTCTTTGTGTTTTTTTTTTTTTTTTTTTTTTTGGTTATTTTCTCAGTTTCTTTGGTTGTTTTTCTAGGTCAAAGGTTTTGCCTTCAACATCTGAGATTTGCTCTTCTGCATGGACTAATCTGCTTTTAATACTTTCGAGGGAGGTTTTGAATTCCTGTATTCCAGCCTTCATCTCTAACAGCTCCATCTGATTATTTTTTGTGGTGTGTATTTCCTTTTCAGATCGTGCAAGAACTCCCTCACCTCCTGGAACTCATTATCTCTTTTCTCCTGCATCTTCTGGAGTTCATTGTTTCTCAGCTCTTGCATCTTACTAAGTTTTGTCACTATGAATATTCTGAATTCTCTATCAGACGTTTCTACGAGATCCACTGTACTATCTGTGGATGATGAAGGATTGTTCTTTTCCCTTAGGGGAGAAATATTTTCTTGATTTCTCATATTTCTTGTGCCTCTGTGGTGGTTTCTGGTCATTCTGTGACAAAAATCTCTCTACTACTGTGTTTTGCAACATGGTAACCACAGAAAGAGATTATGAGTTCAGATTTTTAAAAAAGAAGTTTCTACCTTAAAGCAGGAGGTTCAATAAGTGTTGAGGATTTCAATGACCCTAAAAGTATTTAGATACTTGGCCACTGTGAATAGGCCTGTGCAGATGCTCAGTGTTTGGAGACTGAAGAGTAGAGTGGGAAAGTAAGGTTTAAAAAAAAAAAAAAGGAAAAGAAAAGGAAAAAAAAGGACAAAAACAACCAAAACAAAGAAAAAAATTGTTTTAAGTTAAAAATGAAAACCACGTGGTGCACCAGAACACACCTCAGATTTAAAATGGCTTCTGAAATTAGCAAGAGAAAGAAAAGGCCCAAGGTGAGAAGAAGTGGTTTAAAAATTAAAATAAAATAAAATAAAAAATTTAAAGAGCGATACAGACAGACAGAGACAGAAGACAGAGGCTGCCCTACCTTGTCTGAGTGTTTCGGGATCTAGAAGATGAGGCTTAAAGCATACCTTCAGTCATCTTGGTCCCTGAACACGCCAGAACACACTTCAGATTTAAAATGGTTTCTTGTCTGAGCGTTTCAGGGGTCTCATTGTGCCCAGCTTCTAGGGTGGGTTGGGAAGTGAACCCCAGCTTCCCAGGTGTCTTTAGTTTGCCAAGTAGCAGAATTAAACAGTATCAATGGTTTTCATACATTTTTTTTTTTCCTGATTGCTATGCTAACAGAACTTTGTATTGTATTACATATGTAGAAAGAGTTGGCTTGAAAGGTTAGGAGGTACACGTAAGTAAATAAAATCACAGCTGTTTTTATTAAATATATTTGAACTTAGAATTTGTATTTGTTGCAGCTTTCTCTAATTACATGAAAGTAGGATGAAGAATCAAACAATGCAGTTTTAATGTTTCTTTTTGATTTTTCTTAGCAATTGAAAGCATGTAGTGAAGAGCAAGAAGACAGAGAATGTTTGAACCAAGCTATTACAGCTCTCATGAATCTCCAAGGTAGTATGGACCGAATTTACAAGCAGTATTCACCTAGACGGCGACCTGGGTAATTCCACACTGTTGAAAATATGAATGCTTCTGTGTACATCTCCCTATCTGATGCCTGCTTTTCTAAAGAAGTGTGACTTACAGTGATAGTTGTATTCCTGAAAATTGTATTTATCTTTCACATTTTAATTTTAACCTTTTAGTCTTAGAAGTAACATGGTCCAGCCCGGTGGCACAGTTAGGGGCATATTGAACTGCTGTGCTGGAAGCCATGTGACCAACCATGAGTTCAGATCCCTGGCCTGTTCAACCTGAAACACGCTGAGTGTGATACTCTATGTATGCCCAAGATTTTGATAGGCTGGAGATTTGAGGGAAGAGGCCTGTGGGCATGTCAGGTGTGCTTTCTCTCTCTCTCTCATGCACATATTCTCTATAATGAGTAATTTTTAAAGATTAGCATTACTGGGACCAGCAATTGGCATAATGGCTATGTCACTGGACTCCCATGTAGTCGATCGTAGTTCAAGTCCTGGACCTGGTAGCTTAAACTCATGCTGGGCGTGTGTGCGTGCCCAAGATCCCAAAAGGAGAAGGGATTGCGGTGTGGCCATCGCCCCTGGGGGGTGATTTCTGGCTTTCTGTCTCTCTGTCTGTCTCTGTCTTTCTGGCGAGCGCATGCGCCCTATAGCAAAAACCTCTCAAAAAAAGAAAAAAAAAAAGAGAGAGAGAGATTAGCATTACTATATTGTTAAGAGATACTCAATAATTTTTTTTAAAATCATACTTACCTTTGTATAATTATTCAAGAAATGTAGGATTCTTTGTCATTTAGTTTTTAATGCATTAAGAATACAGAGCCTCTAATACTTCTCTTCCCCAGTAACAAAATCAAGGCATGCATCATAGGGTGGTAAAGTTAGAAAAAAATTTGTGTAAAATTTGTGCTTGGTGTTTTTGTTATTTAATTTAAGGTGGTTTATCTTTGAAACAATTAAGGTTGTAATTAAATAAGCTAAATTTATCTCTCTCTCTCTTTTTTTTTTTTTAGGGATCCTGTGTGCCCTTTTTATAATCGGCAGTTAAGAAGCAAGCACCTGGCTATCAAAAAAATGAACGAAATTCAGAAAAACATAGATGGATGGGAAGGCAAAGATATTGGACAGTGTTGTAATGAATTCATTATGGAAGGACCATTGACTAGAATCGGTGCTAAACATGAACGGCATATTTTTCTCTTTGATGGCTTAATGATTAGTTGTAAACCTAATCATAGCCAGACCCGGCTTCCAGGTTATAGTAGTGCAGAATACAGATTAAAAGAAAAATTTGTCATGAGGAAAATACAAATCTGTGATAAAGAAGATACTTGTGAGTGCAAACATGCTTTTGAATTAGTATCTAAAGATGAAAACCCTATAATATTTGCTGCTAAGTCTGCTGAAGAGAAAAATAATTGGATGGCAGCCCTTATTTCTCTTCATTATCGTAGTACTCTAGATCGAATGCTAGATTCAGTATTATTAAAAGAAGAAAATGAGCAACCACTGAGATTACCAAGTCCAGAAGTATATCGTTTTGTTGTAAAAGACTCTGAGGAAAATATTGTATTTGAAGATAACTTGCAAAGTCGAAGTGGAATCCCCATTATTAAGGGAGGAACTGTGGTGAAATTAATTGAAAGATTAACATATCATATGTATGCAGGTATGTAAATCTCATTATAATTGCTTACCTAAGGCCAAGGACCCAAAAGCTTTTTAAGGATGTTCAAAAGGCTCATGGGAAAGAATGGATTGTCTCCAAAGTATGAAAATACTGCAGAATGAAGAATGATAAATAACTAATTAAATGTTTGTAAAATGTAATTATGTTCATTAATTGTTAATGAGTATTCATAAAATTCAAATGGTCATGATATTTGAAATTAACAGTCTTCATTTATTAAGAAATATCACAGATGGCTGGAAAAGCTACAGTGGTACAATGATGACCATGCTGAAATCCCTCTTCCATTCTCCTCTCAGGTTTTTGGACCTACACACACACACACACACACACACACACAGCATGAGTTTTAAGCTACCAGATCCAGGACTTGATCCACAGCCAAAGTAAAAGAAAAAGGAAGACCTCCCAAATATGATGCTTTGAATTAAACTGAATAAATTGAACTTGAAACCTATTTTATGCTCTACTTTTCAGATCCCAATTTTGTTCGTACTTTTCTTACTACATATCGTTCATTTTGTAAACCACAGGAATTGCTAAGCTTACTGATTGAACGGTAAGAAAAATATGTTTCCCTTACATTAACATTTCATGAAATTTTCACTGTTTTGTTCCTTTCAAAGTGCCTACTGTCTAGTACATACAGTACTCAAGTAGCTAAGAACATTATTTATTTGGTCTTTAACTAGCAGTATTATTGTTCTCTTCAAATAGAGTGCTTATTAAAATCTGTTTATAACAAGATCTTTTCAGTTTTTAGCAATATTTCAAGTGGTAATCAGAGTCAATTTAAAGGATAAAAACTGTATTTTAATAAAATTTGTTCTATGTATTAAAATGATATTTCTTTAAGAGACTTTTTTTACTTTTCACTTTTAAAACAAATGTGTTATAGAAAAATTAAAAACATATACAAAGTAGATAGAAAAATATGATAAACCCATGTATTCATAATCCAGCATAAGTAATTATCAATTCACATTTCATATGTTACCCTACGGTTTTAAATACCCAACCTCCCGGTATTATTTTGAAGTAGATCCCATGTAACATTATTTCATCTGTAAATATTTCTGTATATATCTCTAAAAGATAAGGATTCATTAAAAAATAATCACATATTGGGACCAGCATAGTTTATTGGTTATATTGCTGGACCCTCCTGTAGTCAACTGTGGTTTGAGTCCCAGGCCTGACGGCTTAAACTCAAGCTGGGCGCTTGTGCATGTGTGGCCAAAATCCCAAGAGGAGAATGAAGGAGGAGAGATTGCAGCGTGGCTGTCCCTCCTGGGGGCTGATTTCGTTCTTTCTGTTTGTCTCTCTCTGTTCCTCTAGTGAGCACATGTGCCCTATAGCAAAAATCTCTTTCTAATAAATAAATAAATAAATAAATAAATAAATAAATAAATAAATAAATAAATAAATAAAATCACATATCATTGTTATTTTTGTGTGTGTGTGAAAGATTTTTTTGCTATAGAGTGATTGCAGAGAGACAAAGAGACAGAAAGCAAGAAATCACTCCCCCCAACCCTCAGGGGATGACCATGCTGCAATCCCTCCTCTTCCGTTCTCCCCTCAGGTTTTTGGGCATGCACACACACACACACACACACACACACACATACACACACACACATTGTGAGTTTTAAGCTACCAGGTCTGGGACTTGAACTGCAGTTGACTACATGGAAGCCCAACAAAATAATCATTATGCCACCTGCTGATCCCTTACAGATCATAATTAAACCTAAAAAAAATAGAAGATTTTGAAATTTTAACCAATTAAGTTTTCGGTTGAATTTTTTTTCTTAGTATTTTAGTGGCATTTTAAATGCTTTATAGTTTAAAATACAGAATTTTGTCTCCAAAATTATTTTTGTTTCACATTTTAAAATTTATTGCCAGAATTTTATATGACCTTTATTGCTTTGTTACTCTGTGAAACTCCGAGAGTGAGTCAGAATAGTATGCTAAGAAGATGAACTTAGATATATTTCTACATCCAAAATAAAGAAAGCACACTATCTAGACTTATATTTTTGCTATATTTTCTATGCTTGGAAAATTCTTTTTTTTTTTTTTTTTAATTTTGATTTTTTTTTTTGCCTTACCCACTTAGGTGCATTCTTTAAATATTGTTAAAAATTTTGTTTGAGCCTTCTCTTTGAATTTATTCTTATTTATTTAAAGAAACTTTCATTTTTAATAATATAAATATTTGGGAAAGATTTTTAGATAGGCCATTTCTGTCATATTCTTTAAAGAGACTATATTCTTTATGGATTATTTTCCTGGGTCTTTTCCATGGACCTTTTTATAGTAATCAGTGCTACTTATAAAAGTGGGTTTTTTTCTTAATCAGATTAAGAATATAAAAACTTAGTACTCTGTTGCCACAGGACAATTTTTTGTAGTAGTTAATACCTTAAGGGAAGTTTAACAGTAGTTGTACTTTTCACAGAACTGGTAGGAAAGCAGTGTTGCTTAATCAAAGTATTTTTCCTGTTGTATTTGACATCCTTTTTGCTTATATTTGAAAAATGTCTCTTCTTTTGCCTTTCTTCTTAGATTTGAAATTCCAGAGCCAGAACCTACTGAAGCAGATAAACTGGCAATAGAGAAAGGGGAACAGCCAATCAGTGCAGACCTTAAAAGATTTCGCAAGGAATACGTTCAACCAGTACAACTGAGGTTGGCCTGAATATATTTTTTAATCTTTCATGTCGCATTGTGATCATCTTATAATTCTTGGCTTTTTTTTTAATGGTTATGAAATTTATGGTAATTCTAGCTCTTTTCCCAGGCTATCTCCTACAAAATATACAGATATTATTACTTTATCTCAGAAATCTGTAATCATTTCTTTATTATTTAAAATTTTATCTATTTATTTATTTACATTTTTTTATACATTCAGTTACATTATTTAGCTTATAAAATGAACATTTCAAGGGGACCAGCAGTTAACGTAATTGGCTATGTCAATGGACTCCCACGTAGTCGACCGCGGTTCGCATCCTGGACCCAGTTGCTTAAAACTCACGCCAGGCGCGTGTGCGTGCGTGCCCAAGATCCCGAGAGGAGAATGGAGGAGAAGGGATTGCGGTGTGACCATCCGCCCTGGGGGGTGATTTCTCACTTTCTGTCTGTCTCTGTCTGTCTGTCTGGCGAGCACATGTGCCCTATAGTGAAAAACCTCTCAAAAAAAAAAAGAGAACATTTCAATATGTGAACATTTCTCCCTGGTCCATTTGATCAAAATATAACAACACTACCTCCGTATTTGATTAACTGCCAGTTTTTAGGTCCTTACTTTGTGCCAGGCATGACCTTAAATGCTTTAGCTTTATCTCATCCTGACACCACACTGTTCTTTCTACTTCACATGCCACTGTAAATAGAGCAAGGTTGAACTTTTGACCTAGGTTGTGTGAAGGAGATTGGCAGGTTAGGATTCAAACCAGAGTGTGACCTCCTCAGCCAGTATGGGTATTCTGTTTTACCACTAAGCATTGACAATGTTAGCCTTCTCTTCAGTCCAGGTGAGAACCAAACCAAGTTATCTTACTAATTTTATGTGATCTAAATGTTTGATTATTGTTAGCCAGTAAATTATAACTTTGGAACTAAGTATATTAATTATTTTCCAGGATAATTGCTACAAGTGAGTGCAGTTTTAGAGAAATGATAGTGCTCCCAGCTATATGAAAAAGGAATATGAATATAGGTATTGAGGGTAATGGAAAATAGTGTGAACACAGGCAGGAAGGCGGAAATGAGAATGGTGTGCAGAGAAATAGGTAAGGAAATAGACTTGAGAGGAATAAAGACTTTATTATATTGCAAGTAGTAGTAGATGAGATTAACTATATGGAATGGGGTGGAGTTGGAGATAGCCTTAAAATCGAAGCCAAGTTGTTAAACCTGTTCTGGAACACTGAAAGATTTTAAACAAAATACATGATATTTTTTTCCAACATTTCACAGTGAAAATTTTTAACATATTGCAAAATTGAAAGAATTTTATTAGTGCACACCTACCACCTAGCTCTATTGTTAACATTTTATTATAATTTATAACATATCAATTAACTTTCATTGTTCTGTCAATCCATTAATATTATTACTTTATCTCAGAAATCTGTAATCATTTCTTTATTATTTAAAATTTTATCTATTTATTTATTTACATTTTTTTATACATTCAGTTACATTATTTAGCTTATAAAATGAACATTTCAAGGGGACCAGCAGTTAACGTAATTGGCTATGTCAATGGACTCCCACGTAGTCGACCGCGGTTCGCATCCTGGACCCAGTTGCTTAAAACTCACGCCAGGCGCGTGTGCGTGCGTGCCCAAGATCCCGAGAGGAGAATGGAGGAGAAGGGATTGCGGTGTGACCATCCGCCCTGGGGGGTGATTTCTCACTTTCTGTCTGTCTCTGTCTGTCTGTCTGGCGAGCACATGTGCCCTATAGTGAAAAACCTCTCAAAAAAAAAAAGAGAACATTTCAATATGTGAACATTTCTCCCTGGTCCATTTGATCAAAATATAACAACACTACCTCCGTATTTGATTAACTGCCAGTTTTTAGGTCCTTACTTTGTGCCAGGCATGACCTTAAATGCTTTAGCTTTATCTCATCCTGACACCACACTGTTCTTTCTACTTCACATGCCACTGTAAATAGAGCAAGGTTGAACTTTTGACCTAGGTTGTGTGAAGGAGATTGGCAGGTTAGGATTCAAACCAGAGTGTGACCTCCTCAGCCAGTATGGGTATTCTGTTTTACCACTAAGCATTGACAATGTTAGCCTTCTCTTCAGTCCAGGTGAGAACCAAACCAAGTTATCTTACTAATTTTATGTGATCTAAATGTTTGATTATTGTTAGCCAGTAAATTATAACTTTGGAACTAAGTATATTAATTATTTTCCAGGATAATTGCTACAAGTGAGTGCAGTTTTAGAGAAATGATAGTGCTCCCAGCTATATGAAAAAGGAATATGAATATAGGTATTGAGGGTAATGGAAAATAGTGTGAACACAGGCAGGAAGGCGGAAATGAGAATGGTGTGCAGAGAAATAGGTAAGGAAATAGACTTGAGAGGAATAAAGACTTTATTATATTGCAAGTAGTAGTAGATGAGATTAACTATATGGAATGGGGTGGAGTTGGAGATAGCCTTAAAATCGAAGCCAAGTTGTTAAACCTGTTCTGGAACACTGAAAGATTTTAAACAAAATACATGATATTTTTTTCCAACATTTCACAGTGAAAATTTTTAACATATTGCAAAATTGAAAGAATTTTATTAGTGCACACCTACCACCTAGCTCTATTGTTAACATTTTATTATAATTTATAACATATCAATTAACTTTCATTGTTCTGTCAATCCATTAATTATCTAATTTTTTTAAAGAATTTTATTTTATTTTATTTTATTTATATTTTTTCATTTGACTGAAGAGAGAGAGATATGGGGAGTGAGAAAGCAAGCCACCAGGTTTGGAACTCAAAACGTGGACCATGTGGGATTCTAGCACCTTAGCCATCACACCTCCTGCTGGCCCCCAAATTATCTAATTTTTTAGATATATTTTAAAGTACATTTCTCCTTAAATATTTAAACTTACATATCGTTATTATTCTTTGTTCTAAAATGTGCATACAGTGAAATATACACATCTTAAATGTATTTTGGCTGATTTTTTTTTTTAAGTTTGTTATAGGGCACATGCTGTCACCAAGGAAAGACAGAGAGAGACAGGGAAAGCAAGAAATCACCTCCGCCCCAGGGATGGGGATTGCCATGTCACAGTCCCTTCTCTTTATTATCCTCTTGGGATTTTAGGCACACGTGCACACATGCACACATGTCTGGAGTGCTTTCAAGCTGGTAGGTCCAGGACTTGAACTACACAGTTAGCCAGTAGGATCCAGCCACCTTAACCACCATGTCACCAGCTGGCCCATCTCAGCTGAATTATTATTTTTTTTTAGAGAGCGATTTTGCTATAGGGTATGTATACACACTGGAGACACAGAGATGGAGAGAGAGAAAGTGAGAAATCACCTCCTAGGGAGATGGCCACAGTGCAGTACCTTCTCCTCCATTCTCCTTTTGGGATTCTGGGCATGCACACACATTTGCTGGTGTGAGTTTCAGTATGGGGCTCCAGCCATTGTCGGCCATGTGGGAGTCCAGTGCCTTAACCAGTACACTACCTGCTGGCCCCTCTCTTCCTGAATTTTAACAAATACAGGCGTCTCTATAATCCAGACTCCTTTCAGAAGTGTTACCATACCCCCCAAAATATTCCTGTACTCCTTAAAATCGACGTTTGTTCCTGCCTCCAAAAAGCAGTTTTACCTAGTATAGAATCTCACATAAATGAATTTTTAATTAAAATTATTTATTACCTTTTATTATCATTATTATTTTTCAGTTTATAGGGCATGTGAGCTCACCAGAGAGAGACACATAGAAAGAGGGAAAGTGAAAAAGCAAGCCGCCAGATCTGGAACTCACACTGCAGTTGGCCATGTGGGAGTCTAGCCCCTCAACCACTTGCTGGCCCCATAAATGGATTCTTATATACTCTTTTATGCCTAGGATTTTTTTCATTCAACATGCTTTTGAGATTCATCCATGTTGTTGCTTATATCAATAGCTTCTTCTATTTTATCACTGACATAATGTTTTAATTTTTGACTCTACCAGTTTATTCATTTTTGTCCACTGAAGGACATTGGGCTTTTTTCAGTTTATTATTATTGTTATTTTCTTTATGATAGAGCACATGTAAAAATGAAAGAAAGACAGACAGTGAAACACTCCACAGGGTCTGGTGATACCACAATCCTACTTATTCAGTCCCTCAGATCCTGTACACTCTGTGTGTGTCCAGCATATTTCAAGATGACCAGGTCAGGAATTCAAACCTTGGTTAACATGTGGTTTCTGGCTTCTCTTGAACACCACATTGCCACTGTGCCACAGAGCTGGCCTCAGTTTTTATTATTATGAATACTGCTGCTATGAACTTTATCTTACAAGTCTAACTACAAATCTGTTTTCACATTTCATGGGTAAGTAGCTCAGAGTGGAATGATTGAGTCATAAAATGTATGTTTAGCATTAAAAGAAACTACCAAACATCTAAACATCTCACCAGCAATGTACAAGCAGTCCACTTCTCTATATCCTCACCTCAGTATTTATGTCAGTCACCTTAGCCATACTGCTGGGTATATAGTAGTATCTCAGTGTGGTTTCAATGTGTATTTCTCTGATGACTGGTGATGCTGAGAACATTTTTTTTTTTAATCAGCCATTCACCCTTATTTTGTGAATAATCTGTTCAGATTTTTCATATATATTTTATTGAATTTGCTTTTCATTACTGAATTGTGAGTGTATTAAATAGGACTAGATGCTAACCCTTGGTCAGATAAATGTTTTATAAATAATTTCTCCCCAGCTGTGGCCTGCTTATTAGTTTTCTTTATGATGTCTTAATAAGCAGAAGCTTTTCATCTTTATTTTTTAAGTTTTTTTTTTTTTTTTAATTGCCAGAGGAGGACAGGGAGCAGGGGTGGGGTGGGGGTGGAGGACAAGAAATCACCTCCCCCCCATGGGATGTGGTCACATCTCAATCCCCTCTCCTCCATGTCTCCGTTCTGTTGGAATTTTGGGCATACACACACATGTGCCTGGCGTGTTTTCCAGGCTTCTGGGGCCAAGGTTGAACCATGGTTGGCTATATGAGATCAGACTCTCATGATCTAAGCTACACAGTTGGCCCTAAAGTTTACTATTTCATATGAGAGAGAAAGAGAGAAGTATCCTCAATAGGACCTCACACCCTGATCTTTTCCCCAGTCTTCCCACCATCCAGGATCATGGGCATGTGTGTGAATGTCTGGTATGTACAGGCTAACCTAGGAACTGAACCCCAGTCTATCATATGGCTCTCAGCATTGCAGAACAGCCTATTTCTGCTGCACCAGTGCAACTGGGCCCAGAAGGTTTTCATTTTTTTTTTCTTAATTCTTGCCAAAGGGCACATGCACTCACTGAAGAGAGAGATGGGGGCATTAGGGGAAGAAAGTACACCCCCTCCCCATGGGGTTTGGTCACACCACAATTCCTTTTCCTCCATCTCCTTCCGTTCAGGACTTTGGGCACACATGCATGCACACCTGGTATATTTTTCAAGTGTGTATCTGGGACTTGAATCTGGGACTCATCAGCCATGTGGGATCCAGCTCACTTAACTCTCAGGCCGTGGGCTGGTCCCAGAAGTTTTTAATTTTGGTGAAGTCTAATGATGAGATTTTTTTTTCTTAGTAATTCTAAAATTACATTGACGCTGTAGAAACTAGGAAGAGAGAAAATGGATGCCGAACTATTTGGATAGAACTAAATGTAAACTAGAAGCTAATAATTTTGTGATCTCTTGAAATATTCTTTAAGCCACTGAGCTAACCAGATACATGATGACATAAGGTGGTTTTATTATAAATAGCATGACAGAGACAGGAATTAAAGATTAATTTGAGAGAAAAGTTGTTGTTTGTCAGCTAGTGGAGAATAAAAGCTAACCTGGAGATAGTTGTTTATTGAAATAAGGAAGAAAAAAATGCTAATGGTACTAATTTATACTACTGATACGTACCTGTAGTAATGAATACATTGTCATACTTGTATATTTGATTAAATTTCTTAGCTAGATTATAAGTAATCATTTTTGTGATACTGTAAAACAAAGTAACTGTTGTGTCAAAATTAATATTTTGATTTCAGATTTCCTTATTTAAAATGAAATAAAATGGAGGCATATGTGTTAGACTATGTTGAAATTTGATGATAGCACTTGAATTTAGGACCAAGTACATCTTGGTTTCCATTATGTGTGAAAAATAAGCCAAAATTTAGATGGAAAAAAGATGCGTTTTTGAATTTAAGAACTCTATGGGTCAGCAGATGGCATAGCAATTACGTCACTGGACTCCCTCCCCCATGGCTGACCACAGCTCAAATTTCGGATCCAGCGGTTTGAAATTCACAATGGCACGTGTGTGTGTGCCCAAGATCCTAGGAGGAGATTGGAGGAGAAGAGATTGCGGCATGGCCATGCCCTCCTGGGGGGGGAGGGGGCGGTGATTTTTTACTTTCCTTCTCACTGTCTCTGTCTCTGGTGAGCACATATACCCTAAAGCAAAAATGTCTCAAAAAAACCAAAAACAAAAACAAAAAACAAAAGAACTCTAAAATTCTTTTTGTTCTATGGAGTACGAATGGAGTACGAATTCTACATATGAATAAAGAAATTCCGTTCAGGACTTTGGGCACACATGCATGCACACCTGGTATATTTTTCAAGTGTGTATCTGGGACTTGAATCTGGGACTCATCAGCCATGTGGGATCCAGCTCACTTAACTCTCAGGCCGTGGGCTGGTCCCAGAAGTTTTTAATTTTGGTGAAGTCTAATGATGAGATTTTTTTTTCTTAGTAATTCTAAAATTACATTGACGCTGTAGAAACTAGGAAGAGAGAAAATGGATGCCGAACTATTTGGATAGAACTAAATGTAAACTAGAAGCTAATAATTTTGTGATCTCTTGAAATATTCTTTAAGCCACTGAGCTAACCAGATACATGATGACATAAGGTGGTTTTATTATAAATAGCATGACAGAGACAGGAATTAAAGATTAATTTGAGAGAAAAGTTGTTGTTTGTCAGCTAGTGGAGAATAAAAGCTAACCTGGAGATAGTTGTTTATTGAAATAAGGAAGAAAAAAATGCTAATGGTACTAATTTATACTACTGATACGTACCTGTAGTAATGAATACATTGTCATACTTGTATATTTGATTAAATTTCTTAGCTAGATTATAAGTAATCATTTTTGTGATACTGTAAAACAAAGTAACTGTTGTGTCAAAATTAATATTTTGATTTCAGATTTCCTTATTTAAAATGAAATAAAATGGAGGCATATGTGTTAGACTATGTTGAAATTTGATGATAGCACTTGAATTTAGGACCAAGTACATCTTGGTTTCCATTATGTGTGAAAAATAAGCCAAAATTTAGATGGAAAAAAGATGCGTTTTTGAATTTAAGAACTCTATGGGTCAGCAGATGGCATAGCAATTACGTCACTGGACTCCCTCCCCCATGGCTGACCACAGCTCAAATTTCGGATCCAGCGGTTTGAAATTCACAATGGCACGTGTGTGTGTGCCCAAGATCCTAGGAGGAGATTGGAGGAGAAGAGATTGCGGCATGGCCATGCCCTCCTGGGGGGGGAGGGGGCGGTGATTTTTTACTTTCCTTCTCACTGTCTCTGTCTCTGGTGAGCACATATACCCTAAAGCAAAAATGTCTCAAAAAAACCAAAAACAAAAACAAAAAACAAAAGAACTCTAAAATTCTTTTTGTTCTATGGAGTACGAATGGAGTACGAATTCTACATATGAATAAAGAAAAGGCACTTTTCCTTAACATAAATGTATGTAATTTAAGTACAGAAACCATAATTTTTGTATGTGCTTGGCAGAGAAAGAGACAGTTCTTCCCAATGGTACATGATCCTGCCCAATCCCTTTTTCTTCTGTTCCTCCTGTGCACACACATCTGGTGTGTTTTTCAAACCACTAGGATTTGAACCGTAGTCAGCATGTGGAATCTGACTCCCTTAACCTCTGTGCTACAGACCAGCCCTACTTATAAATATCTTTAAAATATAATTTAAAAATAATGCATAGTCTAGAGACCTTTTCTTTTCATATTATTAAAGCACTTAAGGCATTAATTAAATACAAATTAGAGCCTTTTTTTTAATGGGCCTTTGTGTATAAAGCTATCATTATGGCATTAGAGAAGCAAAAGAATAATAATAGAATACTTAGGTTTCACTAAGATGTGTTTCTTTCCATTTTATCAGGATCTTAAATGTGTTTCGGCACTGGGTTGAACACCATTTTTATGACTTTGAAAGAGATTCGGAATTGCTCGAAAGACTGGAATCCTTCATTTCAAGTGTAAGAGGTATATTGCTTAAAGGTTTGGTTGTATCTTATATTGTATATGAGCTTATTTAAAATTTGTAGAATCTTAATTAAGCTGAACTTTTTCATTTTTAAAAGATGAAATAAGATTTGGAATGATATATGCTCTTAGGAGCTCACATATGTTAAGAATCATCTAAATTCTTAGAACTTTATGTTTTCAAGTTTTTGAGGAAAATATTTTTTAAAGAAGTCAAATGTCCTCTTTAACAAATTTAAGTTATTCAATTTTATCTCATCTCAAGGTTGCCATTTCTTCAACTAAATAAAAATATGTGTAATTTTATAATTTTTATCTTTCTCAAGCTTGTTCTTTAATTTTAGATGATAAGCAGGTTTTTAATAATATTTACTTCCTCTGGAAAAGTTTTGAGTGTATTCTTGGCACCTGAAATATAGAAATTTTTTACTTGCAGTTTCAGAATCACAGCCCATGAAATGAAACCCTAGGTTGTAAACTTTTAAGCAAATGTGTGTATCATGAAATGTATATCATTACTTCGAAAACATTTATGTTGTATCTGGCAGTATAATAGGAATACCATGACAATCCTAGCTTATTTTGTGTCCTACTTGTTCTTTAAGGGGAATTTTATTTAAAATAGAGAATATGATTTCTTTGATTCAACTTTGTGATGTGTAAGATGTTTTTATCACATATGCTTTAAATTTGTTCATATAATACTAAATTAATGTAAAAATTAGATTCCATTTTTCTTTATTTATGATAAAGCATGTGTACACACATATGAGTGAAAGGGAGAAGAACACCTTCCACAGGGTCAGGTCCTGCTGTAATCCTTTCCTACCCAAGTTATCCCTTTGGATAACTAAATATTAATAGTTCAAAAGAAAAAGTTTGTTTGTTTTTAAGAGATTTTTTTTGCCTTGGGGCTCTTGTGCTTACTAGAGAAAGAGAGAAACAGTGAGAGGGAAAGTGAGAAATCACCCTCTTGGGGGGATGGCCATGTCAGTCTCTTCTCCATTCTCATCCTGGGTTCACTTGACACTCACTCCTGGACACATGCACACATGCCTGGCATGATTTTCAAGCCACCAGGTCTGGAACATGAACCGCAGTTGTTCATGAGGAGTCCAGTGATGTGACCGCTATGCCTTCTGCTAGCCCCAGGAAAGTTTATTTTTATAGAAGTAGTTCCACTAATAAGTGAAGAAGAAATGATGAACTATCAGCATGTTTCAATTCTCAGGAAAATAAAGATCTAGGGAATTACTATGAGTGAATATTTAACATCACAAAAAGATAGATAACTGGACATAATATTCCTCCTCTTGGAAGTATTCTTTGTAAGTATTTATATCAAAAAATTGATCCTGGGGACCAGCAGTTAGCATAATGGCTATGTCGCTGGATTCCCATGTAGTCGACCGCTGTTCAACTCCCGGACCCGGTGGCTTAAACTCACGCCAGGCGCGTGTGCGTGCGTGCCCAAGATCCCAAGAGGAGGATGAAGGAGGAGGGATTGTGGTGTGGCCATCCCCCCTGGGTGGTGATTTTTCACTTTCTGTCTCTCTTGTCTCTCTCTCTCTGTTTGGCGAGCGCACACACCCTATAGCAAAAACCTCTCCAAAAAAAAATTGATCCTAAATCAGACCAAGCCTCTGTATCTCTGGTTTACAGAAGATATAGATAGAGAAACATGGCCAGTATACCACAGGGATGGATAGGGTGAAATGAGGACTTGGGAAACACTGCAGGGCTGATAACTCACTTTCTTCAACAGATAAATATACAAGCAAAAATGAGTAAGAAAGGGGGAATTTATAGGTTAAAGGAGATTTGAAATATATTGACTAAATGCAAGTATGTGTATCTTCTTCAGATTGCTTTCAAACAAACCAATTTTAAGAAAGCATAAGAGGAACCAGCAGTTAGCTTAATGGCTATGTCTCTGGAATGGCTATGTTGCTGGACTCCCATGTAGTCGACCACGGTTCGAGTTCCGGACCCGGCAGCTTAAACTCATGCCGTCACGTGTACGTGTGTGCCCAGGATCCCAAGAGGAGAATGGAGGAGAAGGGATTGTGGCATGGCCATCCTCCCTGGGGGGTGATTTTTCTCTTTCTGTCTCTCTCTTTCTGGCAAACACATGCACCCTATAGCAAAAACCTCTCCCCCAAAAAAGAAAACACAAGAGAAAATTGACATTAACAAAATGAAGATATTTATTCAAAAGTCGTAAGTTTTTATGTGGTAATGGTATTGTGGTTATTATTTTCAGATTCTTTTAGAGACACATACTTAAATATGAATTAAATGACATGTCTTGGATTTGTTTCAGAATAACCTAAAGAGTGAAATGTAGGCATAAGCAGGGTTAGATGAAAATTTAAATTTAAAAATTGGTCATGAGTTGATAACTGCTAAAGCTAGTTTAAAAATTTTTCAAAGATTTGCAGTTAATTTGTCAGGTAAAAGGCATTTTTTTTTGTGTTCTTTTTCCAGGGAAAGCTATGAAGAAATGGGTAGAGTCAATTGCTAAGATCATCAAAAGGAAGAAGCAAGCTCAGGCAAATGGAATAAGCCATAATATTACCTTTGAAAGTCCACCTCCACCCATTGAATGGCATATTAGCAGACCGGGACAGTTCGAAACATTTGATCTCATGACACTTCATCCAATAGAGATTGCACGTCAGCTCACACTTTTGGAATCTGACCTCTACAGGTAGACAATTAATGTTGATTTCCCGTTCTCTGTGTGTGTGTTTAGAATTATTTTATTTATTTATTTAATTTATCTTTAATTTGACCAGAGTGGTACACAGCTAGAGAGGGAGAGAGGGAAAGTGAGAAAGCAAGTCGTCAGGTCCAGGACTCAAAATGCAGTCAGCTATGTGGGAGTCCAGTGCCCTTAACTACCACGCCACCTGCCGATCCTCTGTGTGTATGTGTGTGTGTGTGTGTGTGTGTGTGTGTTTAAGAGGTTTTTTGCCTTAGGGCAGAGAGAAAGAGACAGTGAAAGAGAAAGTGAGAAATTATGCCCTGGGGGGATGACCACACCACAGTCCCTTCTCTTACATTCTCCTCCTGGGATTTTGGGCCTGCATGCACACGCACCAAGTGTGAGTTTCAAGGCACTGGGTCTGGGATTTGAACCACGGTCAACCATGTGGAAGTCCAGCAATGTAACCACTATACCATCTGCTGGCCCCTTCTGTTTTGTTTTGAATAACCTTGAGAACACCTCTACCTACTTTCAAGACACTTTCACAAAGTATTCAGAAGTGTTTCAAAATATCTTATCTATTATCCTGGACTTAGACAAAAGCTGATAGCAAAGTTTTTAACTTCATTGTGTCCAGCAAGTAAAAGTCTTACAGTGTATTGCTGTGTAGAACCAAGTAGGGACTAGCAATCTTCACAAGAAAAATGGGAGGGGAAGACTAAAGCTATAGAATAGCAACAACTTTCAAGTCAGTCAATCCTCTCTTCCTCTTAATATTCTCTCTCAGACTATTTTAGCTTAAGGTCAATCAGCCAAGTTAGTCAGTAGAGATACTAGGACTTGGTAGCTAAAGGACAGAGTATTGAGTGAGACAGGCTTTCTTCTTTAATTTACAAACCAGGTTCCTGTGAAGAATATAGATCTTGAAAAACAAACCCTTGCTGGTCATTCTGTCAAAACCTTTTCTGCATTTAGGAGTCCCCTTTTCAAATATAAATACCTTTAAGTTATCCTATTGAGCAGCCAATTTTTTCTTTTTTAAACAGAGACTACACTGGCAAACCAATAATAATAATAATAATACAAGGTCATCAGAAATTTACAGAAGGGGCCTGCAAATGGCATGGTGGCTAAGGGCAGTCATGGTTCAAGTCCTGACCTGGCAGCTTTCTTTCTCACTTTCTCCCTCTCTCTCTCTGTACCTCTCTGGTCAAATTTAAATAAATAAATAAATAAATAAAGTTAAATAAAATAGTTATTTCAAAAAAAATACAGAAAACGTGGGGCTGGCAGGTGGTGTGGTAGTTAAAGACGCTGTATTCCCATGTGACTGACCATGGTTCAAGTCTTAGACCTGGAAGCTTGCTTTCTTACTTTCTCTCTGTCTCTCTATCTCTCTGTCTCTGTCTCTCTTTCTCTAGTCAAATTAAATAATAATAGTTAAGTAAAATAATTCTAAAAAAAACTTTAAAAAATATACAGAAAGGGGACCGTAGTGTAATGGTTATGTCGCTGAACTCCCATGTAGCCAACCATGGTTCAAATCTTGGACCTGGTGGCTTAAATTCACGCCGGCATTTCTGTGTGCATGCCCAAGATCCTGAGAGAAAACTTATTTTGAGACCAGTAGATGGCATAGCAGTTGCATCACTGGACTCCCATATAGTCGACCTGGAGTTCAAGTCCTGTACCCAGCAACTTAAAACTCACACAGGAAGCATGTGCGTGTGTTTCCAAAATCCTGAGATGAGAGTAGAGGAGAAGGGATTGCGGCATGACCACCCCCCCCTGGGATGGGGGCTGATTTCTCATTCTCTGTCTCTGTGTCTCTCTGGCAAGTACATGTGCCCCATAGCAAAAAATCTCTGTCTAATAAAAAAGAAAACTTCTTTCAAAAAATGTTAGGAAGTACCTATTTGTCAAGTCTACTTTTTCAAAACAATTTTGGGAGCTGTATCACACATGGCTGACCACATGGGTTGAATCCCAGCCCTTAGTGGTTTGAAAAGCATGCCAAGCACAGGTGTGTATATGCCCCAAATCCCGATAGGATAGAAAAATAGAAAAGTGATTATTACACTTCATTGGGGGTGCTTTCTCACCTCCCCTCTGTCTCTGTCTCTTTCTCTTTGTTTCTCTCTGGCAAACACACATTCCCTCTGACAAATCAGAAAAAAAGAAAAGAAATGAAAAACATTTCATGAATAGCCAAATGTGTAAGATATTGTTATCAATACCACTACTTAATTTTTTTTTCTTTTTTGAAAGTTTATGATTCAGTGATGTTAAGTGCATTCAGTCTTGTACAACCATCACCACTCTCTAGTTCCACAGTTTTTTCATCGTCCTAGATCAAACTTCTATACCCATTAACAATAATTCCCAACTCTCTCCAGCCCTGACAACCACTAGTCTGCTTTTTGCTTATTCTGGATATTTCATATAAATTGAATCACGCACAATGTGGCCTTTTTAATTTTTTTGAAGAATTATTTAATTTATCATTATTATTATTTCTTTAATTTGCTACAGGGCATATATGCTCACCAGGGAAAAAAAGAGAGACAGAAGGAAAGTGAAAAAGCATACCACTAGATCCAGGACTCAAACTGCATTCAGCCATGTGGCATTCGGACCAGGCAACCTACTGACCCAAACCACTGCTTAATTTTGCAGTTATGTCATTTTGGCCCACTATATACAGTGATTTAATCTGCTTTTCTGTTTTACTTTTTTTTTTATTAACTATTTCAGGCATTCTAAACATATAGAAAATAACATGATGAGTGCTCATGAACAATAAAAACATTACTCAAAAAATTGAAATTCTTGTGAATTCTCCCCATCTCATTGCTCTTCTTTGCCCTGAGAAAAACCACAACCCTGAATTTGGTGTTTACCGTTCTCTTTGTGTCTTTATAATTCATACACACACATACACCCAAACAATATATAACATTATTTTGCACATTTTTAAACTATGTGTACTTAAGTATCATCCTGTAATAAATATTCTACTTAAATTGTTTTTGGCACATGTTCAACTTGATGAATATGGTTTTAGTTTGCTTCTTTTAGCCACTAAGTAGTATTTCATTATATGGATACTTCATAATTTATTGTCTCTCTCTTTATGGGGGTGAGGTAGAGAAGACTCTCTACCACTCTCTGCACTCGCCAGAAAGACAGAGAGAGACGGAGAGACAGAAAGCGAGAAATCACCCCCCAGCAGGGATGGCCACACTACAATCCCTTCTCCTCCATTCTCCTCTTGGAATCTTGGGCACACACACACACATGCCTGGCGTGAGTTTAAGCCACCGTGTCCGGGACTCCAACCGCAGTCAACTACATGGGAGTCCATTGACATAGCCATTACGCTAACTGCTGGTCCCAATTTATTCAGTCTCTTGAAGATGGGCCTCTAGGTTTTTTGGGATTTTTACTCTGACAAACAGTTTCACTCAGCATTCTTGTAAATGTTTTCTTATAACTTTGTGTAAGTTTATCTGGTGTGGAGACTTGGTTGTAGAATTGCTGGATCATCTAGTCTATACTATAAGATATTGCCAAATTGTTTTATAAAGTGGTTGTTTGATTTTACTTCCATTTCAATGCGGAAAGTTTCTTTGTTACCCAGTTAGTATTATCAGACTTTTATTAGTCTGACAGGAGTAAAATGGAGTTTTATAGTTTTACGTTCTTTTCCCTGAGTAAGAGGTAAAGTATTTTTTCATTTTTATGGCTGTTTGAGTTGCTTCTTCGAGAATTACTTGTTCTTGGGTTTTTCCATTTATATTTTGGGTTGTCTTTTCTAAGTTAGGTGATCTTTTAATAATTTTGACAATCTTCTGTAAGTTAAGTTGCATTGATTTTTTGATTTACAGGAAAGTCCAGCCTTCTGAACTTGTTGGGAGTGTATGGACCAAAGAAGATAAAGAAATAAATTCTCCAAATTTATTAAAAATGATTCGCCATACAACAAATCTCACCCTCTGGTTTGAAAAGTAAGTTTTTATTTACTCTGTCTTGTTACTTTTAATAGTCACATATTAAGTCATATTTAAACTAGAATTCTGGCTATAATAGGTTTCTTATTTTCTAAGTGAGGCAAAGAAACTTTTCTAAGCCATGAATTTTTTTGTTGTTGTTAGATGCATTGTGGAAGCAGAAAATTTTGAAGAACGGGTGGCAGTACTAAGTAGAATTATAGAAATTCTTCAAGTTTTTCAAGATTTGAATAATTTCAATGGAGTATTGGAGATAGTCAGTGCAGTAAATTCAGTGTCAGTGTACAGACTAGACCATACTTTTGAGGTAAGTTTTAGGCTTAAATATTCATCCTTTTGGGGGAAGATAAAATTAATGTAAAAGCTTGCTTCTACCACCTATCTTTTTGAGTAAGTCCTTTGTAAATCCATCTTTTTTCCTTAAATAAATATATCACTATATAGATATTAAAAAATATACCAGTATACACTAGTAAGTCTAGGATTCATCAAAAAACAATGAGACTTGCATCTCTGTTCAATGTACTTACTGAATTACCATAATGAAGTTTCCAGTGGATTTTTTTTCAGTAACACATTGATTGATAGTCTCAAATTAGTGACAAAGGATTTAAAATATAAATACAGATGAGCCAGCCTGTGGCACTGTGGTTAGGGCAGTTTGATCCTACATGGCTAACCCATGATTCAAGTCCTGGACCTGGTGGCCTGCAAAACATGCAGGGTTCATGTGAGTGTATGCCCCAAATCCTGAGAGAAGAATGGAGGAAAAGGGGTTGTAGCATGGCCATCCCCTCTGGGGGGTGCTTTTTCATGCATCCCCGCCCTGTCTCTTTCTGGTGAGCGCACATGCCATGTAGCAAAAAAAAAAAAATAAATAAATTAATCACCTTTATTCTATAGTCAAAAAAAGAATAGCCTGGAGAGAACCCTTTCTAACACTTACTTTATTTTTTATATTATAAAATGTGCTTAGTGTTTATTTAAAAAAATTCAGGAGATATAGAAAGTATAAGAAGATATTTTAGTAAGAAAATTGAGGTCATATTGTAAATTATTTTTTATGGCCTATATCTTTTTCTCATAAACATTTTCCTGTTTTATTAGCTTGTCTTCAAAACAAGGGTTTTAGTAGCTGCTTGGTTTTCTGTGTCATGCTCTGTCATGGGTAAACCACTCTAATTTTTCCCATCACTCTATTGTGGGACAAATAAATTACTTCTAAATTTTCACTATGATAAATAATGTGTTATGGAACATACATACACAGAAACCTTTGTAAAATATTATTTTTCCCTAGGATAAGTTTCGGTAGGTAGAAATTCTCTGTCAAGATATTTGCACATTTTAAAATTTTTGATACTTTTGCCCAGCTGGTTACTAACAAATGATAAATGCCTTGAAGTATTATATTTAAAACTTTTTTTACAGATTTAATGGACCAAAGAAAGAAATTATTATTTTTTAATTGAATTTTAAAAAATAATTAGTGCAGGGACCAGCAGTTGGCATAATGGCTATGCCACTGGACTCCCATGTAGTCGACCATGGTTCGAGTCCCAGACCCAGTGGCTTAAACTCACGCCGGGCACATGTGCGTGCGTGCCCAAGATCCTGAGAGGAGAATGGAGAAGGAATTGCGTCGTGGCCATCCCCCCGGGGAGTGATTTCTCACTTTCTATCTCTCTGTCTCTCTCTGTCTTTCTGGCGAGTGCACACGCCCTATAGCAAAAACCTCGCCAATAAATAAATAACTAGTGCAGTTGAATATTTTTAAAATGTATTTATTAGCCACTTTTATTTCTTCTTTATCTGTTCATGTTTGCTATTTTTCTTTTTGAGTATTTGCATTTTGTTGATTTATATAAACTCGTTATATATTCAAGATACTAAAAACATAGTCAAAACTGTTCATATATTTTCTCCAGCTTCTATTTGTCTTTATTTTGTTTTCAGTTTTTGAGAGGGATAGAGTCTCACGAAATTGCAGTCCACCTGCCTCAGCCTCCCAAATAGCTCATAATACATCTGGGCACCACTGTTCCTGGCTCTTAGAGCTGGAAATGAATCCCAGGCCTCCCATGTGATCTCAGCCTGCTGAGTAGCAGTTGCTGTTAGTAGAGGTCTCTCAATAAAGGCCCTACCACAGCTGGGCCATTTTTATTTTTTAAGTTTATTTTTATCCTTCCATGAGAAAGAGAGAGATGGACAGACAGACAGGGACATTCCCAACAAGGTCCTCATGCCAAATCCACTTTCAGCTTCAGCCAGTCAGATCATGTGTGCCTAACCCTCCCAGCCTGCCTGCCTGTTTGCCTGCCTACCTGTCTTCTGCAAACATTTATAATGTTTTGATATATAGATGTTTTTATTTGTGTGTCAGTCTATATGGTTTCTTCCTTTGCTTTTGTACCTAAAGACTTTTTTTTTAAGTGAAAGATAATGTATAAAGTCAGCCATACAAATACTGCTTTTGGGAATGTGAATTTTTGTAATCTTTCTGGAAAATAGGAAAAATGTTAAAAATTAAAAGTACACATACTCGGGGCTAGCATGTAATGTAGTGGTTAAGGCGCTGGATTCTCACATGGCCAGCAACGGTTTGAGTCCCAGCCGTGGTGGCTTGAAAATCATGTTGGGTGCATGTCTGTGTGTGTATCTAAAGTCCTGAGAGGAGAATGAAAGAAAAGGATTGCAGTGTGGCCATCCTCCCCTTGGGGACAATTTCTCATATTCCCTCTTTCTGTCTCTAGCAAGTGCATGAGTCTTATGGCAAAAACCTAAAAAAAAATTCACATACTTTTGGACTTACAGTCTTAAATAAAATTAAGAAGAAATAAAAGCACCAAAAATATAAAGTTAAGCATACAAAGATAGAGTTACTGTAGCATTAATTATAGTAGCAGAAAACCAGAAAGAATGTGAATGTCTGTCAGCAGGAGAAAGATTAAATGCATTATCTTATACCTGTAGTGTGAGATATTGATCAGCTATTAAAAAGGGGGGAAGGGAGGCAGCAGGTGGTGTGGAGGTTAAGGCAGCTAGATCGCAACCTTCTCAACTCCACGGTTTGAGCCCTGGACTCAGTGGCTTGAAAATCACACCAGGCGCATATGGGTGCATGCCCAAAATCCTGAGAGGAAGCAGTGGAAGGGGGTGGTGGTTAGAGATTACGGCTTGGCCATCCTGCCTTGGGGGATGGGGGTTGATGTCTCTCTTTCTCTCTCTCTCTGTGTTTCTCTCTGGCAAGCACATGTGCTCTATAGGAAAAACTAAAACAAACAAACAAAAAGAATGGCATCTATGTGTGCCTTTAGAGAATTTTTTTAAGGTTTTTGCCACAGAGCACGTGCACTCACTGGGGAGAAACAGAAGGAGAGAAAATAAGAAATTACCCTCCGAGGGGATGGCCACACCTCAGTCCCTTCTCCATTCTCCTTTCTCAATTTTAGGCACACATATACAAGCCCCCTGAATGATTTTCAAGCCTCTGAGTTCGGAGCTCTAACTGTGGTCAACTTGGTGGGCGTCCAGTGCCTTAAGCACCACACTACCTGCTGATCCCAATATTTATATTTTTGGGGGGGAAAAAAACACAAGAAAGATTCAGACTATAAAGTGTTTCCACTTTAGTGTTAATAGAACAGAACAAACCATAAACCTCTAAATGGAGTTGCATGAATACTGAGCATAGTATGGAAGAGTATGTACTGTTTCTTATCATTGGTTCTTTCAGTGGGTTGTCATTAAAGAGGAGTGGAGGAAAAAACTTCTTTTGTGTACATATTTTTCTCTTTGGATGTTTGTGTGTTATTGGTTTGTATTGTATTAACTTTTTATACATTAAACACATTATCAGTGAGATGCTTTTCTTTTTATTTTTCTAATTTATAAGGAGCTTGAACTTCTTTTCAAATATTTATCATTTTGTATTTCTTCGGTGGGCTTTTTTTTTTAAACTTTTTCTGTTGTTTATCTTACGGATTTTTATTTTGTATTCTGAATTCTAATTCTTTGCAAATTATGCACGTTGTTAATATTTTATTCCAGATCAAAGCTCTCCTTTTCCTTTTCATACATCATTTTTAATGCTGCCTCTTGATGAACAACAATTCTTTTTATTTTTATTTTATTTTTTTGCCAGAGACACATGTATTATCAGAAAAAGAGAGAGAGAGAGAGAATGTAAGCACCCCTCCCCATGGGGCATTGTCACTCCTCAGTCCCTTTTCCTTCATTCCTCCTTCTCATCAGGACTTTTGGCATGCACACACAGATGCCTGGCATATTTTTCAAGCCTTCAGGGTTGGGATTTGAATCATGGTTAGCCATGTGGAATCTGATTCCCTTAACTGCTATATTCTGGGGCTGACCAGACAAGAATTATTAATGTAGTCAAATTTACTTTTTTTCCTTTACTTATTTGTCCCATAATATATGCTTTTGGTGTTCTATTTAACAAATCCTCCTCTATTGTCCTAAAGTTTTGCTTTAAATCTTTAATCCAACAGGAATGGAGATGGGAATATGGGGTGAAGTTAGATTCTAATTTTTTTGTTCTGTATGGCTAGCCACTTGTTCCCACACATTAATGGAAAGTTGTTCCTTTTCCCATTGGTCTATAATGCCAGCTGAGTAATAAATTGAGGGTCCATATTATAGTTCTGTCTCTGGTCTCTCTGTCCTGTTCCTTTTATCTGTGAGTTCTGTGCCACATATCTAAATTATTATAACTTTATACAAGTTCTTGATAAAGAAAAATAGAGCAAGTCCCTACCAATTTGACTTTTTTTCCGGGAGTGACCTGTTCTTGGCCCTTTATTCTATTTAAGCTCTAGAATCATTTTCAGCTTTTTTTTTTTTTCCCCCTAGTTTATTGTAAGGTATGTGTGCTCACTGGAGAGAAAAAGGAAAAGTGAGAAATCACACACTAGGAGGGGTGGCCATGCCACAATCCCTTCTTCTTCGTTCTCCTCTCAAGATTTTGGGCACACACATACCCAATGTATTTTATGAACTGCCAGGTCTAGTACTTGAACCACACATTCAGCCATTTGGGATCCAGTCACCTTACCCGCTATGCCACCTGCTGACCCCATCAGTTTTTGTTTTTGTTTTTGTTTGGAAGGCTTTTTTTTTTTTCCACCTTTCTTTCTTTCCTTCTTTCTTTCTTTCTTTCTTTCTTTCTTTCTTTCTTTCTTTCTTACATTCAATCATTGTACATCTTTATAGCACACAAAATGGATTTTCCCAACACTAATACTGTGTGTTTTTGTCCAAAGATATTACCATATTCACTATCATGAACAGATAATCTTCCATTTCGTGTTCATTAAATGTTTTTCTTTATCTGTTGAAGATATTTTGTAGTTTTATCAGCAGTACTAGGGAGAAATGTTCACCTGTTGAAATACCCATTTTGTAAGACAAATAATAATGTGATTGAATGTATGGAAGAAAATGAAATGAAAAAAAAAGTTTTTCTTTTGCTTTTTCTTTCCCTTGATTCCCTCCCTCCTTCCACCTCCTCCCCCCCCCCATTTATCCTTCTCCCACACTGTCTCTAGTATCCACAGTTGTTCTCTATGCTTTTATACCCTCCAATCTTTCAGTTTCTTTTTTTTTTTTTTGGAGAGGCTTTTGCTAAAGGGCACGTGTGCTTGCCAGACCGCACGAGAGACAGAAAGTGAGAAATCACCCCCCAAGGGGGATGGCCATGCCGCAATCCCTTCTCCTCCATTCTCCTCTCGGGATCTTGGGCACACACGCACACGTGCCCAGTGTGAGTTTAAGCCACTGGGTCCGGGACTCGAACCACGGTCGACTATGTGGGAGTCCAGCGACATAGCCATTACACTAACTGCTGGTCCCCAATTTTTCAGTTTCTATCACGGAGTAAAGACATTCAGTATATATTAAATGGGGACATAATGCTTCTCTTTCATAGTCTGACTTACTTCACTCAGGATCAGATCTTCCGTTTTGTCAACTTCAGATCAAATACAAAGGTCTCTCTCTCTCTCTTTTTTTAAATGACTGAGTAGTATTCTGTAGTGTGTATGTCCCACACTTTTTCAATCCATTCACCTGTTCTGGGACATTTGGATTGATTCTGTGTTTTAGCCATTGTGAATAATGCTGCAGTAAACATAGATGTGCAAGTACTTTTCTGACTGAGTTTATTCCTCTTTTTGGGTAGATACCCAGAAGTGAAATTCCTGGATTGTATAGTAGTTTTATTGGTAGGTTTCGGAGAAATCTCCATATTGTTTTCCACAGTGGTTGTACTAATTTAGATTCCCATCAACAGTACAGTCTCACCAACACTTATCATTCTTTGTTTCTTTAATCCTAGCCATTATGACCAGGGTTAGATGGTAGCTCAATGTGGTTTTGATTTTTTCATATGCTTTTTTGGCCATTCATATGTCTTCCTTGTAGAGTTGTCTATTCAGCTCATTTGCCCATCTTTTAACTGGATTGATTATTATTTTTAGGGGTAAGCTGCTTGAGTTCCCTGCATATTCTGGTTATCAGTCCCTTATCTGAGACATAGCTTGCAAATATATTTTCCCATTCTGAGGGTTGTCTCTTCCAGTTGTTCTTTTTTTTTGTTGTCTCTTCCAGTTGTTTTTTTTTTTTTTTTTTTTTTTTAAAACAAACAAAAAACAAACTGGGATTTTAAGAGAAGTTATATTAGACCCGTAAACCAATTAATGAAGAAGTGACATTTTTATAGTAATGAGTCTTGTCATGAACATGGTATTTCTCTCCATTTACTTACTCATTTTTATAAAGCTTTATGGTTTTCTTGGCAGACATGTCACATTCTTTTTTTTTTTTTTTTGGAGAGGTTTTCGCTATAGGGCGCATGTTCTCTCCAGAAAGATAGAGACAGAGAGACAGAAAGCAAAAAGTCACCCCCCAGGGCGGATGGCTACACTGTGATCCCTTCTCCTCTATTCTTCTCTTGGTATCTTGGGCATGCATACACACGCTCCTGGCGTGAGTTTAAGCCACGGGGTCCAGGACTCGAACAGCGGTTGACTACATGGGAGTCCAACAACAGAGCCATTACGCCAACTGCTGGTTCCCCACATTTCTTTTATTAGACTTATATTAAGACATTTGTTTTCTCTTAGTATCTAGAAATGCACTTGACTTTCGCCTAGTTTTGCAGTTAACTTTATAGTCAATGGTATTACTAAATTCTCTTATTAATATTCTACAATTTCATATCAATCATGGATACTCATATCTTTTGTGAATAGTGACTGATGTTTTTTTCTTTCCATAGTACTTTATAATTTTACCTTGTTTATGTCAGCTAGAACATCTATATAGTATTGAGTAAAAGCTAAAATGCAGTCACTGTTGCTTTGTCATTAACTTAAAGGAAATTTATCAATTGCCTCTCCATAATGTTTGCTACGGTGTGTGTGTGTGTATTATCAGGTTAAAAATAATTTTCAGTAAGAAAAATGTAATAATGAAATATAAAGGAAATGCTTGTGTTTACATCACTTACTAAATTTTCATTTATGTCTTCTTGTCATCTCTTTTTTGGGGGAGAGGTTTTTGCTATAAGGCTTGTGTGCTTGCCAGACAGACAGAGACAGGTAGAGACAGACAGAGAGACAGAAAGCAAGAAATCACACCCCAGGAGGGATAGCCACACTGCAATTCCTTCTCCTCCATTCTCCTCTCAGGATCTTGGGCACACGCACCTGGCTTGAGTTTTAAGCCACCAGGTCCAGGACTCAAACCGTGGTCAACTACATGGGAGTCCAGCAACATAGCCATTACACCAACTGCTGGTCCTTCTTCTTGTCATCTTTTGGACCTACTGTCAGCCCCCCAAAAACCCTCCGTAGAAAAGTATTTGAATGCCAAGAGATTGTAATTCTCCTCTCCTACAGCTATAAAATGAAACCCTGGCTCATCATAATTATAACTAAAAAGGTTCTGATGAAGAATGTTTTAATTGCTAATTCTGTAATTTATATTAGAAAAAAAACATGGTTTAGGTCTTACATCTATAGCTAGAGGAGAAATAATTTCAGGTATGTGCACAAAAGAATCACATTCATCTCTGCACTTCGAAAAATATTTTTCAAATATTTATAGATGTTATAAAATTTAAAGCTCTGCATCCATAACATGATAGAATTGTAAAGTTACACTGAATTTATACATTTTAAAGGCATTGCAGGAAAGAAAACGGAGAATTTTGGATGAAGCTGTGGAATTAAGTCAAGATCACTTTAAAAAATACCTAGTGAAACTTAAGTCAATTAATCCACCTTGTGTGCCTTTTTTTGGTAAGTTACTAAATATGAATATTATATTTCTAGGGTGAATGAGTTATAGTAAAAGAAAACGTCTTTAGAGGCAAGTTATTTTTTTTTTTTAAAGAGAGATCCTGTTATTGTGTGTGGGCGTTCGCCAGAGAGACAGAAAGCAAGAAATTACCCCTAGTGAGGATGGCCATGCCACAGTCCTCCTCCATTCTCCTCTTGGGGTTTTGGACACATATACACACATGCCAAGTGTGAGTTTTAAGCTGCCAGGTCTGGGACTTGAATCATAGTCAACTACTTTGGAGTCCAGTGATGTAACCATTATGCCATCTGCTGGTCCTGAGGCATGTTCTTATTTTATTTATTTATTTATTTATTTATTTATTTATGGAGAGGTTTTTGCTATAGGGTGCGTGCGCTCACCAGACAGACAGAGAGAGACAGAGAGACAGAAAGTGAGAAATCACCCCCAGGGGGGATGGCCATTCCGCAATCCCTTCTCCTCCTTTCTCCTCTTGAGATCTTGGGCACTCATGCCTGGCGTGAGTTTAAGCCACCGGGTCTGGAACTCAAACCGCGGTCGACTATGTGGGAGTCCATTGACATAGCCATTACACTAACTGCTGGTCCCAGGCATGTTCTTATTTTATATCTGAGTTCATCTACTTTTCTTAGCTGTCTTTATTGATAAATAAAGCTTAAACTCTGTATTTCCTTATTTCTAAATTAAAGGTTATGATAATCACCTTATTGGGTGGTTGTAGAAATTAAAATATTTTGGAGACAGCAGGTGGTGCGGTGGTTGAGGTGCTGGACTGTCACATGGCCAACCTTGATTCAAGTCCTGGTGGCTTGCTTTCTCTGTCTGTCTGTCTCTTTTTCTCTGGTGCGTGTGCTTCCCTGTAACAAATTAAAGAAAAATAATGATGATGATAATACAATTAAATATGTAATTTTTAAAATTAAAATATTTTATCTGTACTACCTAATACAAAGTCTAACATATAGTAGGCACTTAAGAGATGGTAACTATCATTTGTTATTGGCGCTATATCTGTGTCACACCTATGGTGTTTGCTTTATTTTTAATTTATTAAAGACTTTTAAGTTATTTTTAAATTCAGAATTAAAACATTGTTATGTATTTATTAAGCAAGATTTTATGAAATGAACTTTTCTTTGCTTCTACACTGAATGATTTAAATCAAGGTTTCTCAGCCTCAGCACTATTGAGATTTTTGGGTCACATAGCTCTTTATTGTGAGGAGCTGTTACATGCATTGTAAGATGTTAGCAGCATCCTGGCCTTTATTCACTAGATTTATTCACTAGATGGCCACAGTCATAGTAAACAAAAAGTGTCTACCGACATCCCCTAACATCACCTAAAGGACAAAATCACTCCCAATTGAAAACTACTATTTTATTATTTTTATTATTTTCTTAAAGAATTATTTAACTGTATGTGTGTGTGTGTGTGTGTGTGTATACATACATACATATATATATAGATAGATAGATAGATAGATAGATAGATAGATAGATAGATAGATAGATAGATAGATAGATAGATAGATAGATAGATAGATAGATAGATAGATAGATAGATAGATAGATAGATAGATAGATAGATAGATAGATAGATAGATAGATAGATAGATAGATAGATAGATAGATAGATAGATAGATAGATAGATAGATAGATAGATAGATAGATAGATAGATAGATAGATAGATAGATAGATAGATAGATAGATAGATAGATAGATAGATAGATAGATAGATAGATAGATAGATAGATAGATAGATAGATAGATAGATAGATAGATAGATAGATAGATAGATAGATAGATAGATAGATAGATAGATAGATAGATAGATAGATAGATAGATAGATAGATAGATAGATAGATAGATAGATAGATAGATAGATAGATAGATAGATAGATAGATAGATAGATAGATAGATAGATAGATAGATAGATAGATATCTATATCTATCTATCTATATATTTAAATTTGACCAGAGAGGGGCAGAGCAAAAGAACGAGCGAGCAAGTAAGAAAGCAAGCCGCAAGCCCCCAGGTTTGGGACTCAAACAGCGATCGGCCATGTGGGAGTCCAGTGCCCCTAAACACCACACCACCTGCCATCCTTGAAAACTACCATTTTAAATGAATCAGTAATTTTGCATGAAAAAGGGACTAAAAACTTTTTTATTGCCCAAGAATAAGAAATAATTATTTTTCTATCTAAATTATAGGCTCCGAAGAATTAGAATTAGTTTTTAATCTGTAATTTTATTAACCAAAATTGGCTTAAAAATTAATTTATTTGGGCCAGCTGGTGGTGTGGTGGTTAAGGTGTATAGATCCCACATAACCAACTGCACAGTTGAGTCTCAGACCCGGAGGCTTGAAAAACACCTGGGGCATATGAGCATGTGTGCCCAGAATTCTAAAAGGAGAAATGGAGGAGAGGAGCACATAGAGTGAGCATTTATCATGAAGAGCAGTTCCTCACCCTACAGCCCTTCCTCCCACACTGCATGCACCAGTTAGAGTAGAGTTAACGCTTAAAATGTAGACTGTGAAATTAGATTTTTAAAAAGTTTCATTTGTTGTTTCTTACAGTAGTAGCCTTTATTTTATTGAAGACTGGTAACCCTTATTTTGTTTTTATTTTAAATTCTTTCATGTTAAAATCTTAATGCAGAATTATTCATTACGAGTAAAATTGCTGAGTTGTACATACTAAAATGTCTTTCAACTTGGCTAGATCAATTATTTTTCCAAATGATTGATTAAATAACCACTTTTAATTTATCTTTTCTTTAAATGTTTCCTATACTAGGAATATATTTAACAAATATTCTGAAGACTGAAGAAGGGAATAATGATTTTTTGAAAAAGAAAGGGAAAGATTTAATCAATTTCAGTAAGAGGAGGAAAGTAGCTGAAATTACTGGAGAAATTCAGCAGTATCAGAATCAGCCTTATTGCCTACGGATAGAACCAGAAATGAGGGTAAATATTTTTTGCTTATCTTTAAAAGAGAGCATGTTAAATTTTCTGTGATCTCTAAGAAATATCATAATTACATATTATGCTTATTTTGCTTTGAAAATAATGAGTTAATAAAATCATTAAAGAACAGTATTAAATATTAGATCTTCTGTACTTTGGAATTATTAAGTGCTTTTTCTTTAAAATATTGCTTCTCTGTGCAACTACTTGAGACAACGTTTCCAAAAAACTCATGACAAAATAGAATGGAAAAAGCTTTCTGATATTTAAGCGGTAAAAAAATCCACTACTAGTGCTATTATTGATTGATAACCATTTCTGATACTTTTCATATGCCAGCATAACATTAAATTATTTATCATTTTATAAGAACACTTGTTTAAATAAAGGAAGAGTCAAAAGAGTGGCAAATAAATGTAAAGCAAAAGATAGGTTTCTAATATCTTATCAGTGTTCTATTTTAATACTAGTGTATAGTATTCTGTAGTGCTGTAAAGTGTGGAATGTTTTATGAATTATACTAAGTCATAATATGTTTATGTTGAATTTACTTAATTTGAAATTGAAAATACAACTATAGAACAGAAAAAGCTCAACTATCACATTAAAAATGTGCTGCCAAACTTTTAGACTACACATTGGGCAGATTGAATGAAAATAGCCATCACAGCACTCCTGTCCTCCTAAATGATGAGATAGTAACTCTTCCTCATTTCCATTTCAAAACCACATATCCTAAGAACCTAAGTAGGAACTAAAGTACACTGCTTATGAAAATTAGACAGATACCTGCTCTAAAGAAAAAAAGTATTAAACTATTGGTAGTGGGGTCAGCAGGTGGTGTGGTGATTTAGGGGGGCATTAGACTCTGATATGGCCAACTGTGGTTCTGGTCCCAACCTGGTGGGTTCTGGTCCCAACCTGGTGGCTTGCTTTCTCACTTTCTCTCTCTCCTTCTCTCTCTCTATCTCTCTGGTCAAATTATAAATAAATAGGTAGGTAGGTAGATAGATAAAATAATTATTTAAAAATATATTGTTAGTGATGTATTTCATCTCTTTCCCTTTTTGGGCCTGCTCTCTGTGATATGGAGTTTCACAGGACTAAGGAGATATGTTCTCAAAGCAGAGTTCATAATATGTTTTCCCACAGAAATGTGTTTCATTGTAGTTGAGTATGGTTAAAATAGTACTTTTAGTGTTTATATTTCAGAAACATATCTGCTAATAGATTTTTGTGGTCTGATCTAGGCTTTCTACCACCACTTAGAGCATTTGAGGAAGGGGTAATGCCTTCTTTATGATTGAGTCAAAGTAATTTTAAAATGTAGACAAAGTAGCTATTCACCTTTCAAACCCTAGTTAATAACTAAGACCTAAATATATTTTAAAAAATAGGACAAAGAATGAAAAAATCAGTAATATTGCTATTACAATTTGTTTTTTTGTTTGTTTTTTTGTTTTGTTTTGTTTTGTTTTGTTTTGTTTTCAGTGCCATATGGTGCTTGTGCTCACTGAAGATAGAGAAAGTGAGAAATTACCCTCCAGAGGGAATGGCCATGCCACAATCACTTCTCCTCCATTCTTCTTTCTTGCACATGAACCCAGCATTATTTTTCAAGTCACCAGGTCCTGGACTTGACCAGCAGTCCACCATGTTGGAGTCTAACACCTTAACCACCACATCACCTGCTGGCCTATCTGTTCATCATCTTAATAGAATAGACTATAACTTTTACAGAAATTATATCATTTTATTGAAAAGTACATTAGGGGCCAGTAGGTTGTATAGTGGTTAAGGTGCTGGACTCACATGGCTGAATGTGATTCAAATCCTGGACCTGGAGGCCTGAAACTCAGGTTGGGCACATGCGCACACGTGTCCAAAGTCCTAAGAAGAAAAGGGATGGCCTTCTCTTCATGGCTGGGGGATTGGGGGTGTGATTTCTTACCTTCTCTTTCTCTGTCTCTCCAGCAAACACAGGCACCCTACAGCAAAAATCTCTCTAAAAAGAAGTAGAGATATTGGTATAGGACATTTGTGCTTGCCAGAGAGAGAGAGAAAGACAGAGACACAGAAACTGAGACATCATCCCCCTATGGGGGATGGCCACATTGCAATCCCTTCTCCTCTACTCTTCTCTCAGGATTTTGGACACGCCCATACACGTGCCCGGCATAAGTTTGATGCTGCTGGGTCCGGGACTTCAACCATGGTTGACTACATGGAATCCAGCAACGTAACCATTACTCCATCTATCTGCTGGTCCCAAAAGTAGAGAGATTGGAATAAGCAATCCTTGTGAACTTTTGAGACAATGTGATGACTTAGTTTGTTGATAATTTAATACTAAAATAATGAAATAAATTTTGTTAAAATTTTTAATAAAATTTTTTAATAAAATCTAAAATATATACTTATGGGTATTTGCTTAATTCCAGAGGTTCTTTGAAAACCTTAACCCCATGGGAAGTGCATCTGAAAAAGAGTTTACAGATTATTTGTTCAATAAGTCACTGGAAATTGAACCTCGAAACTGCAAACAGCCACCTCGATTTGTAAGTCCATGACAATTTTGGAAAAATTGTTCTGTTTTTAAGAATATTATTTTCAATGTTTTACATCTTAGCCCCTTAAAATTATGATCAAATAACTATTTCTAGGTGTTTTATTTTGCAGTACTATACTATTTCTGAAATCGGGTATATTGTGGGGGAAATGTTAGCCTTTTGATAAAATGCGATTTCTCCTTTATCTTAGTACCACATACTTATCTATTTATTTTGAGGGCCAATTCTGGGATAAATGTATCCCAGTTCTTCTGACTTGACCATGAATGGCCCCAGGGTCTATGGGCACCACTGGAACATAGCTTGGCTAGTACAGTTGCTAGTTATCCCAGGGGTTTGCAGTGGCATCAGAAATAATAGCAGACCAATTCTAAGTAGCCAAAGGTGAAACCAAGATATGGAAGGAAGTAAAAACACTTGTAACATATCAGCTTCAGACAAAGCAGAAAGCTGGTAGGTAGTTTCATGTTATTTCATCTTCACAACAATTGTGTGATATACATATTATCCTCATTTTACGAACAACAACCAAAAACAGGTTCAAAGAGGTTAAGTAACTTTTAAGGCTATGTAGGTAGATATTGGCACAGTTGAGTTTTTTTTTTTTTTTTTGAGAGATTTTTGCTATAGGGCGCGTGCGCTCGCCAGACAGAGAGAGACATCGAGACAGAAAGTGAGAAATCCCTCCCCAGGGAGGGTGGTCACACCACAATCCCTTCTCCTCCATTCACCTCTAGGGATCTTGGGCACGCACGCACACACGCCCGGCGTGAGTTTTAAGCCACCGGGTCTGGGATGCGAACCGCAGTCATCTACGTGGGAGTCCAGCAACATAGCCATTACGCTAACTACTGGTTCCCAAGGCACAGTTGAGATTTGAACTCAAGTTTTCTCATCTGAGTTCTGTGCTTTTCATTAGGTTACCACTGCCAAAATTTTTTAAATAGGGTAGTGGTAAGGGTGGTGGGGAAAACTATAGCAATTTCCCCCCAAGACTTTAAAGAACTATTGTAAAGGTTGATTATTTAATATAAGATGCACATAGCATAATATGTTACATAAGTTACATTCCCAGTAAATGTTTATAAAGCTGATATAGATGATTTAAAAGAGAAGTTTAGGTTGACATATTTTATGGACAGAAAGATGTTTTCACACAAATTTTCAAGAATTTATTTGTATATAAGAAGAGATTTGCTTATATTCAAGTCCATCTTAAAATGAAACCATTGAAATCCAGGGGTTTTTATTAGAATGCGATAGGCTGTCCTTGTAGACTGAGATTTTATTATACTCTCTTAACTATGTGCTTAAGAAGGTAGCACTAAATCATAAAAAGTATACACAGGATGGGCAGCCCTGTTGCCTAGTGGTTCAGGGAGCCAGATCCCACATAACTTACCATGTGATTTAAATATGAGCCCCCGAGGCTTGAAAAATGTGTTGAGCATGTGGGCGTGCATGTCTCAAATCCCAACATGATGAAGAAAAGGAAGAGAAGGGATTGTGACGTGACCACCACTCCATTAGGGATTGCTTTCTCCCCCGCTCTCTGTCTCTGGTAAGTACATGTGCCTTCTGGCAATTTAAAAAATATGTACTTGCAAGTTAGTGATGTCAATTATATTTGCTTTTCCTAGCCAAGGAAATCAACTTTCTCCTTAAAATCTCCTGGAATAAGACCTAATACAGGCCGACATGGCTCTACCTCAGGCACTTTACGAGGTCATCCAACACCATTAGAAAGAGAACCATGTAAAATAAGCTTTAGTCGGATTGCTGAAACTGAGATCGAATCAACAGTGTCAGCACCAACCTCTCCAAATACACCATCTACTCCACCAGTATCTGCTTCTTCAGACCTTAGTGTATTTTTAGATGTGGATCTCAACAGTTCCTGTGGTAAGTATTTGATGTAAGCCATTTGGTAAAAAAGGGAATCTTGTAATTCAGATAATTTTTCTCAGCTTTCTAATAAGAGAACTATAGAATCTTTTACAAACTATGTTAGTGTGACAAGTGACATCTAAATGTGAAAATAGTCACATAAGGGAGTAAAAGATCATTTGTACAATGTCTATGTATATTATTTTTTAATTCACTTAACACAGATTTATTTAGCCCCTTTTGGGCCACTACCACTCTAAAGAAAGCAGTAGACATGGACCAGCAGTTAGCATAATGGCTATGTCTCTGGACTCCCATGTAGTAGACCATGGTTCGAGTCCCGAACCCGGTGGCTTAAACTCACACCGGGCACACGTGTGTGTGTGTGTGTGTGTGTGCATGTGTGCCCAAGATCCTGAAAGGAGAATGGAGGAGAAGGGATTACTGTGTGGCCATCCGCCCTAGGGGATGATTTCTCGCTTTCTATCTCTCTGTCCCTCTCTGTCTTTCTGGTGAGTGCACATGCCCTAGGTATAAATTTTTTTAAAAATCTTAAAAAAGAAAAAAAGAAGCAGTAGACAATGATAAGAAAACAAGTAGATAAGTTTTCTTTTCTTGAGAGTGAGATTTTTGCTATAGGGCACATGTGCTCACTAAAAGGACAGAGAGAGACAGAGACAGAAAGCTAGAAATCACCCGCCACGGGGGATGGCCATGCTGCAGTTCCTTCTCCTCCATTCTCCTCTCAGGGTCTTGGGCACCCACGCACACATACCCAGTGCTAGTTTTAAGCCACTGACTTGAGGACTTGAACTGCAGTCGACTATGTGGAAGTCTAGCAACATAACCAATACACCATCTGCTGGTCCTCAAGTAGATAAGTTCTATGAGGGACATTTAACAAAAGAATGGGGTGGGCCACCAGGGGGCGTGCAGGTTGGGGCATCTGGATCCCATGTGGTTCACTACACTGTTCAAGTTATGGTCCAGTGACTTGAATATCAGGCGCATGTGGAAGTGTGCCCAAAATCCTGAGAGGAGAATGGATAAGGGGTTGCAGTGTGGCCATCTCCTCTGCCACTCCCCCACCCCTGCAGCACACACACCCTAGAGCAAAACTTAAAAAAAAAAAAAGGAGGGAAGAATGGCATCAGCGCATGGCCTGGTAGTTAAGGAGGGTGGATCTCACAGGACTGACCAGGCAATTTAAGTCCTGGACTTGGCAGCTTAAAAAATATCCTACGCAGGACCAGCAGATGGTGTAATGGTTATGTCACTGGACTCCCAAGTAGGTGACTGTAGTTCAAGTCCCAGACTTGGCGACTCAAAACTCACATTGGGCACGTGTGTGTGTGCCTAAAATCCCAAGAGGAGAATGGAGGAGAAGGGATTGGGGTGTGGCCATCCCTCCCCGGAGGTGATCTCTCACTTTCTGTCTCCCTGTCAGGCATGTGCATGTGCCCTTTCACAGAAATCTCTCCACACACACACACACACACACACACACGTCCTGTTCATGTGTGTGCACATGCTCAAAGTCCCAAAAGGAGAGAGAAATGGAAGAGGGGATTGCAAAGTGACCATACCCCATTTAGGATACTTTCTCATTCCCATCTCCACTGTAGCTGCACATGCTTTCTGGAAAAAAAAATTTTAAGAAGGGAACCTGTTAGAGAAGGAGCTGCTTATGCCAAGGAAGGAAAAACATTCCAAGTACAAAAAGTATTGTTTTATCTTTTAAAAACCAACATGCCAAAGATTATGATAAAATTCTGAGTTGTGTTTGCATTACATATTACTTTACACAAACATTTAAGAATAAAGCCGCATAGGGCTGGCAGGTGGTGTGGTGGTTAAGGCACTGGACTCCTGCATAGCCAGTCGTGGTTCAAGTCCTGGACCTGGCGACTTGCTTTCTCACTGTCCCTCTCTCTCTGGTCAAATTGAATAATAATAATAAATATAATTAAATAAAGAATTCTTAAAAGAAAAAAACATATTTCTAAAGCCATACCTGTTATCTTTCTTTTCTAATAAATTTTTCTTATTCCAACAGGCAGCAACAGCATCTTTGCTCCTGTGCTGTTACCACATTCAAGTAAGTAAGAATCTAAGTTGGTTCTAATGTAATGACTATAAAGATAATAATGTGGTTCATTACATTTCTAGTTGTTTATTTTGGGTTTTAGCAATATTTAAAGGATAAGAAATCAAAGAAACATTTACAAATAAATCAAATTATTTGCTTACAATTGTGCACTGTTTAAATTTTACTATAGCTTGTTTTCATGATTTTACAACCTGTATTCTACGGCTATGCGGCCTTGAAAAAATTACTTACCATCTCCAAACCTGTGTGGATCAAATGAAATAGCTATGTAGAACATCTTGCACATTGCTTGGTACAGAATGACAGTAATTTTATTTCAGTTGCTTCTCCTCCCCACCTCTTCCAAATCACTTTCTTATGTGAATAATATACTAAATGTTTAACAGGTTCCCAAGCTAGTCTTCAATTGCTTGTTTCTTCACATCATATTATTTATTTATTTATAAAAGGATTATTTATTTTATTCTATTTATTCATTAATTTATTTAAATTTGATCAGAGAGAGAGACACACACAGAGGGAGGGAAAGTGAGAAAGCAAGTGACCAGGTCTGGGACTGAAACTGTGGTTGTCTATGTGGGAGTGTCCAGTGTCTTAACCACCACACCACCTGCTGGCTCCTACATCATCCTATTTAGTTAAAACAGTGTTTAAATTACTATTCTGCCATTCTTGGGGCCAGCAGGTGGTGTGGTGAATAAGGGTGCTGGATTCCCACATGGCCAACCATGGTTCAAGTCCTGGACCTGGTGGCTTGCTTTCTCACTTTCCCTTTCTCTCTTTCTCTCTCTCTCTCATCAAATAAAGAAAAAAATAACAGTAACAAATTTAAATAATTCTTTTAAAAAATTACTATTCTGCCATTCTTAATTATTTCATAGTTTACAATATAAATGCAGTTAACTTTCTCTCTGTGGTCATTTGTTTAAAACAAAATAATCAAAAAAAGGAACATAGCAACTTCATGAATAATTCTCTACAACTACTTCTAGCATAGTAAAATGTATGTAATTTAGATATTTGCAAGAATCCTTGTCTTATGAGAAGAATGAGTTTGATCTTTTAAGTATTTAATTTTATATTTGATACTTACCAAAAATTTTTCCTAAAGTAACATATGCATAGGATTGAAAAGACAATAATGTGCTAGAACACATAAAATTAATAGTAATTCCCCACCTCATGTCTTTCTACCTCTTTTCTTATTCTCTGGTGACATTTTCATATTTTTAAATGATGTTTTTATATTCTCTCTTTTTATTTATTTATTTATTTTTTCTCTCTTTTTAAGTCTTTAAACAGTGTTTACTGATATCTTATCATGGTAGATGAAGATTTCATGCTCTACCCTGCCTGTACTTACTTCATTTGGAACAACTATTGGGTCGTTGGACAAGTCATGAAACATTTTGCACAGAAAAACATAGAAAAATATGTTATGACTTTCTCAACAACCTAATCTTTTTCATTCCTAAATCAAGAAGTATATATTATGATTATGCTTCTTTTCTTTGTACAGTTTTATCTCCTGAAGTTAATAGTTGGCTCATTGATGCTTAGGTTTCTTGTTTTTTTGTTGTTGTTGTTTTTTAACACCTACTACTCAGTTTTCTCATACCTTCACAGCAGTGTTTGATAAAATCAGGTGAATTAGGATGGGAGCCAGCAGTTAGTGTAATGTCTATGTCGCTGGACTCCCACGTAGTTGACCGCAGTTCCCGTCCCGGAACTGTGCATGTGTGCGTGTGTGCCCAAGATCCCGAGAGGAGAATGGAGGAGAAGGGATTGCAGCGTGACCATCCCCCCTGGGGGAGTGATTTCTCGCTTTCTCTCTCTCTGTCTCTCTCTGTCTGGCGAGTGCACACGCCCTATAGCAAAAAATCTCTCAAAAAAAAAAAATCGGGTGAATTAGGAAACTGATTAGGATTTAAAACAAAACAAAACAAAACCAAACCTGCAAACCTTCCTGGTGGTACCCTTTTGTCTTCTTGCTCTAATTTGGTCTGACCCAGCAGACATTCTAAAACTGTTTCATTATCATCCCAGAAATTCCCTTTACCTCCTTCCTGCTGGATCCTTGTCTTTAGGATTCCTCATCTCCTTTCTTGATAGTCTACTTCCTTTGGAGAAGAATCATCTTTCAGTAACTACCTAGGAACAAATACACAGATACAAAGTTTTTAAGTTTTATTTCTGAAAAATGTTTCGCATGTTTAATTGTTAGTTGTTTGGTTAAGTATAGAATTTAAAATTATTGGGGCTGTCAGGTGGCCTGGTGGTTAAGGGCGCTGGACTCCCACATGAGCGACCACAGTCTGAGTCCCTGACCTGATGGCTTGCTTTCTCGCTTTCTCTCTCTCTCCAAATTAAAATAAATAAATAAAATAAATAAAGTTAAATAAAATAACTCTTTAAAAAAAAGAAAAAAGAATTTAAAATTATTTTTACTCTGAATCTTAAAGGCATTTCTCTACTTCTAGCTTTTATGATCACTGTTGAGAATGCTAATGCTATTTTCTAATGCACTGTTCATTTATTCAGTGCATAATTTTTGAATGCCTGATATATGCAGGTGCTGTTCTAGGGTGAGCTATTGAGCTATGGCAGTGCACAGAACTTCAATCTTTTTTTTTCTTTCCCTTTTTTTTTTTTTTAGGTTTTTGCCATAGGGCAGATGCACTCACCAGACACACACACACACACACACACACACACACACACACACACACACAAAGACCGCGAGACACACACACACACACACAGACAGTGAAAGGGAAAGTAAGAAATCACTGCCAAAGGGGATGGCCATGCCGCACGCAGTCCCTTCTTCACTCAAAATAAAAACTCTTAAATTTTTTTTTTACAATGGGCCACTTTAATGTGGGTGTGTTTTCCTTTCATTTTGCTGCCTAATTAATGAACCCTTTAATGTGTTTGATTTCTAGAAAATATCCTTCGTATTGTTTTAGTAATACTTTTTTCATGTACCACCATGTCCTCTCCCTCTTAGAGTACCTTTTTTCCTTCTCTTAAGCATCCTAGGTTAATCCTTAATTTTCTTGTCTTTTGTATTGTTATTCATCTCTGTTTTCTTGTTCTGTTTGCTAGAAGATTTCTTCCATTATGTTCTAATTTTTCTACTTATTTTCTTTATCTGTCTTGACTGAATTTCTGAGAATTCTTTCTAGTTCCCTTTGATCATACCTTTTTTATTTATTTAATTAAAGTTTATTTTTTTATTTATTAGCATCATAATCTTGTTTATATTACATTGAATTGCGTATAACTTTACAGTGTATTACATTGCTTTTTCAAAAGGGATTGCCATGCATGTCAGTCAATACAGAGACATTAAACTCGCCACTTCATCATTCAATATCTTTTCACTGTTTTTTCCGATCATCATTATTATTATTCCAATTTTTTTAAAACAATCACTATTTCTCATTTTTCTTGTAAAAAGATGTTACCCATCATGAAATACTTCTCAGACCAAACCAGTTGATAATACTGTACACGTCATCATCAACAGGTAATAAGCCATATCTGTGTCCCGCTAATATCACGCCTCTCTATTTGTTCTCTTGCTATCTTTCTCTAGCCTCTTCTCTTCACCCTCCCCTCTCCATTCCACACTGTCTTATTCTCGTTAAGTACTTTCACTGCTTTTATGTCCTCCAATATTTCGCTCTCTACCATAGAGTGTGGCTAGTTGGTATATATTAAGTGGATACATACAATATCTTTCTTTCCTAGCCTGGTTTACTTCACTCCGTATCTGCCCACTCCGTATCTGCCCACATTCTATCACATGCCAGGGTCTTGTTATTTTTTATGGCTGAGTAGTATTCCATAGAGTATATATGCCACACTTTTCCAATCCATTCATCAGTTTGTGGACATTTAGGTTGGTTCCATGTCTTGGCAATTGTGAATGATGCTGCAATAAACATTGATGTGCAAGCACTTTTCCAACTGAGCGTTCTCCTGTCCTTTGGGCAGATACCCAGAAGTGGGATTGCTGGATAAATTGGTAGTTCTATTTGTAGATCTTTGAGGAACCTCCATATTGTTCTCCACAGTGGCTGAACCAGTTTACATTCCCACCAACAGTGTAGGAGGGTTCCCTTTTCACCACATCCCTGCCAACACTTACCACTTTTTATTATTCTTAATCTTTGCCATTCTGACAGGGGTTAGGTGGTATCTCATTGTGATTTTTATCTGCATCTCCCTTATGATGAGGGATGTTGAGCATTTCCTCATATGCTTTTTGGCTGTTCATATGTCTTCCTTAGAGAGATTTTTGTTCAGCTCATTTTC